CACACACACACACACACAGAGAGAGTCCAAAGTAACACAACACAGCTCACCCTTTGTTGAGACAGACTCAGAACTAGGGAGGATTATCTACTTTCGATTCGTGTTTCAGATAAAACGTTTTTGTTCTAAGTTCTCGATCTTTGCCGTGAGGAAGTGAGATCTTGTGGGATCACGAACAGAGCTTTTCTGCTTATCGACAGCTGCCCAATCAATCTCATCAACCCGGTATTGTACGTGTGAGTGGACGATGAATGGAGCTTGGGAGCAAATGCGGATTTGATTGAGTAGTTCCCATGTACCTGATTGATGGGTGGTTGGCGGGTGCTCTGGTGTATTATTTTGCTCTTTCTTTACAGTTAAAACGTCTGTTGGTGGGTGATTGGTGGGTGCTCTTGTGTATTATTTTGCTCCCTCTTTCCAATTAAAACGTCTGTTGGTGGGTGATTGGCGGGTGCTCTGGTGTGGTATGCTTTCTCTTTCCTATCGGTATCAAATATCTATCGTCCTTATCTCACCGTTTCTGTGTGTGTTACTCTCAAGTATCAACTCTAAAGTTCTTCACTTTTCTATGACCTAGATCTATTTTGTGTTGTAAGCGCCGTTGAAATCCTACTACAAATAAATTAAAAAACTAAAACATCTGTCGTTCTAATCTCTTCTCCTTCTTTTTTCTGTGTATGTTAATCTCAAGTAACAACTCATATCTTCAGTACTTATGTACTGACTTATGTGAGGCATCGTGGTGAAATCAAGCGCTCGTCAAAATAATGAAATCGAAGACATTGGTATTTATTTCAGTCAGATTGGCAATTTTGATCGAATTCTTATTTCTTGTCTAAACACCTTTAAGATTTATTAACAACTCATTTCGGTGTGGATTTTACTGAAAAAATCTTGATCTATGGAACCCAAAAAAAAATGTAAATTTGCAGTTTCCAAGTTAGGACTCTCAAACTTTGAACGGTATGCAAATTTGGTGGCCATTTTCTCGCGTATTTTACCTCTGAAACCAGGCG